TTCCAGAATATATTAAAATGAACAAGAGTAAACCAGAAACAAGCACTGGCTCCAACACATTGTGTGTTCTGTTTACCTCTTAAGTGGAATAAGGTTGGGGAATTACATCTAACCAAATTTGACTGTTTCCCACTTCCAGTTTCATCAACCAGTGCAATCTGCTCTTTGACCCGGCTAAATAGTATTAGTAAAAGAGGCTAATAACATTGTACTTTTCTACCTTGGTTTTTGTTTTCAAAGAATGGCTTCATGTTTACAATAGGGCTGGATAATGTGAAAGGTATGTGAAAGACTGATGAACTGCAGGAAGCACTAAGGTGTACATTAAAGGCACCAATATTGGATATGGGAGGAGGTTGAAGAGTTGAAGGAGTAAAAGTGCAATGTAAAATGGGGTTATAGAATGCAAAACAGAGTTTACAATGTCATAGATGAATAATGATAGTTCAGTGGGTGAAATGCACATACAGAGAAGTACAAACCCCATCGACACCTCCTTTCTCTGCAAATCTCACAATTCTAAACATCCACCATAAAATGGGCGAATTCAAACATAGCACCGAATTGATGTAAATTCGGGTATGTTGCCTTATTTGGTTCTGGCCTGTACTTTTGTCACGCCGCGAAATTGACATACAGACCAGCCCACTGGTTCACGGCCCAAGAACATGAATAGAGGCAGATGTAAGGCACCAGTTTAGCCTACAGTTGGGTTTACTTCTACAAGAATTACAAAGCAGGCAGTTTCTCTATTGTAAATTAGCAAGAACCACGGGCATAAATGCAGTGTTCCAGGCTGCATGGAGGAAGTGGAAACCGGGTCAGGTTCGGTCGCTCTGTGCCCCGCCGGCTCCCTGTTTGGACTACGTGCTGCACTATAGCTGACCAAAATCCCGGACGATTTTGATATTCCCCCGGACATTTTTTTAGGTATGAAAAGTAGAACATGTCCAGGAAAAAAGAGGACGTCTGGTCACCCTACCATATGAACAATTTGATGTTTCAGTGAGTGAGTGCTTGTTGCTATGATGCGTCTTTGCTCAGCAGCTTTGCTCATTGTAAACCAACCAATCAATGCACAGCTCATCTAAATAGTCATGAGCATACCATAAAAGGAAGAAAAACTGTCGTTTGATTCTACGGCTTTTAACCAGGCTTGCATTAGGGCTCATAGAACAGCAAATATGCCATTTTCAGCCCAACCAATGTTACACACCCTATTCAGAGACCTTAAGGACCAGCACCAAATACTCTATATAATCATTCTATGACCCCTTTAAGGTACCCTTTAAAGTATTGATCTAAATATAACTGACACATTAAAAATATTTAAAATACTTTCAAGTAGGGCTTGAAAAGTTCAGTTCAGACAAATATTAGGTTTTCTAGAAGATGTTTCGCCTCTCCTCCAAGAGGTTTCTTCAGTATTAACTAGTGGTGGGGAGCAATGAGATTGATATATTGTAGGTCTAACAAAGAAGTAGTGGAAACAAAAGGTGGATCTGATCCCTCCTACTACTACCGTCTTCTGGAAAACTTCACGTCCATTTACCTAAACTGATCTTTTCAAGCTTGACCATGACCTGAATGACAGAATCTTCAAAAATATGTATTAAAGTATATGTATTATGCCAACCCATTGAAGTGGTTGGTTGTTAATGTTAAACTAAGACTGGATAAGCCAAACACACTACAGGCACTTCATGTATTTAAATTTTTATTTAGACACCTAGACTTCTGGATTTGATGACTCAAGAGGTAGAAGTTTGTCCTGTAACATGGTGGGATGTTGGTTCAAGAAACCTACTGGGACATCTTAGTCGTACCATTTGGGCAGAACACTTCAGCTGCCTTGCTTGCTTTTGATGTTTAAGGGGCCTGATGCCACCAATTATATGGCTGCCCCATTTCTATCAGTCTTCCCCGGGGTGGCTGTTGCTAAAATCATCAGGGTGAGATCATGCAGGTTAACATACTGTAGTATGCCCTGAATTGTTTGGAAGAATGCATTGTTAATTTCAGAGGTCAGAGGATAAAAGGCAGAGTGATTTGAAATGATACACAGGCAACAGTTACTCACTTAACCACTTATCATAGCCAAGTTATTTGGAGTAGCACAACACATCAAATCCTAAAAGGTGGTCAGCAGTGAAAAGGACTAGCATCTCAGATAGCTTCCTGTAAATAATAGCTGGAATTGGAACAGACTTACCAAAACTGAACAACAAAGGATTCCACATAACATGTCTGGTCCGTTGAGTCTTAAATTCCAGCTGCAACATTTTAATAGTAATGTAAGAATTAGATGTAAATAGCATTAATGTCTGGATCTACCCTGTTTTTTGTGAAGGGTTTACACTGGTCATAGTGATGTAATGTGTTGTGAGATCATTTTTGGCTCCCTAATAGCAACTGCTATCCATTGCAATACAACTGCCACCCTTAGTTTGGTTCTGATCAGTTCACCGCTTTATGACTACAGTGTATCGAACCTCCATGGCTACTTTAAGTCACAAATCTCAAATAATCTCTAACTGATATCTTGAACAAGACAGTAAAGTCACCATAGATAATTGAGATTTGGTGGAACAGGTGATTTTGATCATGGATGTCTTATCAATCAGTTTTAACCACAGCATGCTATTGTTTCAATATAGAACATAATCTTAAAGAAATGTTCCATCCCTTTACGTCTATTATACAAAGTATTAAGGTTGCTCTGGCAATGGTATTACTATTAAGAAATACATAATAAAGTCATTGGAGAGTGTTCATGTTAAGGGCTTGTTAAAGTCAAGTACAGTTTATACACTGCTGAAAAAAATAAAGGGAACACTCAAATAAAACATCCCAGATCTGAATGAATGAAATATTCCTGTTGAGTACTTTATTCTCAAAGTTCAATGTGCTGACAACAAAGTCACACACAAGGTATCAATGGAAATTAAACTTATTAACTAATGGAGGCCTGGATTTGGAGTCACACAGAATTAAAGTGGAAAAATAAACTACAAGCTGATCCAACTGTGATGTAATGTCCTTAAAACAGGTAAAAATGAGACTCAGTCATGTATGTGGCATCCACACGCCTGTAGGACCTCCCTACAAAATCAGGGCATGCTCCTGATTAGGTGGCGGATGGTCACGTGAGGGATCGCCTCTCAGACCTGGAATAAAACATCCACCAACTCCTGGACAGTCTGTGGTGCAATGTGACATTGATGGATGGATCAAGACATGATGTGCAAGATGTGCTCAGTCGGATTCAGGTCTGGGGAACAGGCGAGCAAGTCCATAGCTTCAATGGTTTCATCTTGCAGGAACTACTGACACAGTCCAGCCACATGAGGTCTAGCATTGTCCTGTGATTGAACGAACCCAGGGCCAACTGCACCAGCATATGGGGTGTGTTCGATTTTAAAGGCTGCACCCTCCTCGGTCTCTCTGGACTGGATCCTTTGAGGTCTGTGAAAATAAGGAGACCGGAAGAGCTTTGGCTGTGGATTCAAAAAGGTCCAGCCTTCTGCAGCTTTCCAGACTCTTTTGCGTCTGTCACATGTGCTAAGTGTGAAACTGCTTTAATCTTTGAAGAGCACATGGTGCAAGTGCAGAAGTTGCGTGTTCTCTGCAAAATGACAAGTGTCCTACACTGTTTTGGGCTGTGAGCACAGACCCATGTGTGGATGTCGAGCCCTCATACCATTCTCATGGAGTCGGCTCATTTGTGGCCTGCTTGAGGTCATTTCACAGGGCTCCTCCTGTTCCTCCTTGCACAAAAATGGAGTACTGGTCCTGCTGCTGGGTTGTTGCCCTTCTATGGCCTCCTCCATGTATCATGGTGTACTGGCCTGTCTCCTAGTAGCCCCTCCAGCCTACAGATACTTTGCTGACCAACACAGCAAACCTTCTTGCCACATCTCACATTGATGCTCCATTCTGGACGAGCTGCACTACCTAAGCCACTTATGTGGGTTGTAGAGTCTGTCTCATGTTACCATGAGTGTGAAAGCACCACCAACATTCAAAAGTGACCGAAAAATCAGCCAGAAAGCATAGGTACTGAGAAGTGGTCTGTAATGCTCACCTACAGAGTCACTCCTTTATTGAGGGTGTTTTGTTAATTTCCAGCTGTTGTCTATACATTTTTTACAACAGCAAGCAAAGTTTTTTGTCAATCAGTGTTGCTTCCTTAGTGGACAGTTTGATTTCCCAAAAGTTTGATTTGATTAAAGTTATATTTTGTTATTTATGTTTTCCCTTTGGTTTTTTTTAGAGCAGTGAATTATAAGGACTTGTTTCCTTCCATGTCTTGAGTATATGATAATTTATGTCCATGCTGATCCATTATTGAGGGAGGAGCCTTTCATTGAACATAATCAGGAAGTGTGAAGAGTCATGAAAGACTGTGTCTTTTTCAAATCCCCCCATCAAATTAAAAAACAAAACACACGCTATGATGAAAATCCCTCTCTAGATAAAAACAAGGTCAAGCAAAAATGGAATTACCCCAAAAAAGCCTTATGTGCTGCAAATCACATGGCCCTGAGAGGTGTTTTCCAACAACTGTCATTGTAGAGCAGGGCTTTTTTTTTCTATTGAATGTATTCTCCATTTATTGCCACTAGAGGGGGCAATTTACGGTAAAGATCTGGTTATTAAGGAGTCCTATGGCAACAGATGCAGAAATTGGAAAATACTCTCAAGACTCAGTTATTATTATTAAAAGTATTATTGTCATATCTATTATTTTTCTGGTTGCTGCTGTCATATTTTTCTGTCTAAAATGACTGATTCTTATCTGATATAAAATGATATATCCATTCCTGGATACACAAAGTGTATGGGGTTTAGGTTGTCTCATTTCCTGACTCTAAGAGAAAGTGTCTATGTGTGTATGTGTTTGGTGAAAGGGGGGGCAGAGGGAGAGAGGAAGAGAGAGATAGACCTGCACATAGGGGGAGGGAGAGGAGGGGGAGGCTCCTGATACCAAGACACGGAAAAAGCAAGGGAGGGATAGAGAGAAAGAAAGAACAAGGGGCTGGTGGAGGAAGAGGAGAGGGGAGTTGGAGAAATCGGGGAATAACACTTAAGAAAAAGCGCACAGAGGAGAGGAGGGACGGCACCCGGCGCATTGGACATCCCCAGCTTCCTTCCCTCGGGCTGTCACAGCAGATTGGACTCCGAAGGACCGACACGGCGGCCACCCCAGACCCCATGGGGTAACAGGTATGTCTGACTTCCTCCCTATAACCACCACTCGAAGCAGGACATCACCAGAGTCTGGAGATTTCCTCCAGGAGCCGTGGATACATATATATATATTTTCCCTTCCTCCTGTTATGTCAACAATTAGTTTCCTGCCTTACGCCGCCACCGCGTCCACAGCTGATAGTTGGCTGCTGCCGCTGCGCACAGGTTGAAGGCATGACACAATACAACTCTTGACTACTGTGGCTATTCTTTATGTTTTTGTTGCGTGTTTCCATTGGCACCGTGTTAATTAAGAGCTGGGGTGAATATCTGTATGCGATGGAGCAGAACGCCTACCTGTTCTATGCGTGACAGCCAGCCGCCTGCTGCGCGTCTCCATATTCTGGACAAGCTGTCATGCTTTCCAATGATCCGCTTACGTCTACTTTGATACAAACGTCTATTAAACTGAATAAAAAAAACATATTTTAAATTAAATGGATGTTTAAATGTAAGTTTTATATCAGTGGATCTATTTAAGGTGTTAATTGTAGTGGCAGCAGTTTGGTATCTTTAGAAACTTTTGATTTCCACTTTGGCTGAGAAGGAGGGGGGGTGCACAAACTTGTCGTGGACACATGATCGTGATTGTGCCACGGAGGGAAAACGACTGATGCACTTTGTTGACGTCTGGAGGGGATTCAGAATGAAAGCGCACTGAGGAGGGGGTTGAACCCTCCCCTCATTTTTCACCGCGATTAACCTCAAAAAGGGGGAATTTCTCATTTTGTTTTGCTGCGTCAACGCCAAAGCCATCAGATAAGACACAGAAATAAAAAAGGGGGAATTTACTTCACAGATATAGCGCCCTCGCGCATTTTTTTGATATTACTATAGATTATTTTAAATAAGTGTTAGAGCGGGTGATGATCATCTGATCCTAGATTAGATTTAAAAAAGACGCGTCTAATGCTTTCTGAGCGTCTCCTGGTTGTGTCTGTCCTCTTCAACCGGTCAGTTCCGTCTTCCTCCATTTTCTACCATGTGACACCGGGGGAACAAGCCCACTTCTTTGGAAAGCTGCATGTGGACGTCAGAGTGCGCCTGGCTGTCACCTAACAACAGCCAGGTGGATGCTCAGCTTTAGTCTACCTAGGTTACCAGCTTTTTAACGGAGATTAAAGTCACTATAGTTAGGTTGGATGTTATCACTATGTATTTATTTCTAAAGGAAATAGAGTTTTTTTTTATTTTATTTTTTTTTATTTTTTTATTTTTTTTATAAAAGCAGTTACAAACATTTCCTTTTTTTTGTTTTGTTTGATTGTTATGTTGAAAATTGGTAGTTAATCAAAAGATATATTTGCTCCTAAAAATACGTTTTCTCACAGGCGAATGCTTGGTGGCATCACAAGCTACAAAACTGATATGATAAATTTGTTTACTCTTTTGTTATTATCTTTTATTAAATTCCCTCTGCAAAGAGTATTAATTGTCTTAGAATACAGACATTTGAATGTATGTGAAACTGCATGGAATTCAGGAACATTGGTGGATTAGTGGATATTCAGTTTAGATAGAATACAGTATCCACACATTTGGAGTCCAATTTTTCTTTCAGTTCAGTTCCTCTATTACCTGTCATGTTGTTTTATTTATTTAAATAATGTCACAATAGTTACCCGTGGAGCACCTAAACAAGGTCGCAAGCTTTTTTATTTCTCAGAGCAGTTTTGTTGTCAAAGCTCAATGGTGTGAAGGCTACAGGTGGGCAAGTTGAAATGCTCCGGTCTTGGGTGTTTTAACCCACACAATTCATTACATGGCCCCCTGGTTTCTGGGATGCTAGGCTATCGTATCTCTGCTATCGAACTGCAAAAATGGCGGAACAGCGTGGAGCGTAAAGCTCTGTGACCTGGAAAACAAGTTGCTCTGAGACGCACCTCAGAACAACTGTAAATGATTGGTCAGTGGAGCAACAATAAATTCATCTAAAGCATTGAAGCTAAAATGTGAAAAGGAAGGGTTTAAAAACATGAAATGCTTTTTAGATCCATCCCAAGATGATCGCTAGACACGCAACTTGTGCTAAGGCCAAACCTACCTGTTATATGGAAGCCAATGCCATACAAACCTTAGATTCATCAATCACCATCAGTGTGTGAATGACTATATAAGTACAGTATAACCATTACCATTTACCATCAAATAAGGTGGTGTGCAATCAAACATGGAAAAAGGATAGAAAAATATAAACAGGAACATACACAGATTTATAGTAAAGTTTTGGAAAAGGTAATCGCTCTAATAATTTTATTGTTTTAGCTTCATTCAGGATACTATCTATTATTGAGTCGAACTTGGGCTTAAACACAGAAGATGGAGCTCTGACGGTTCATCAACTTGGGAATATACAGTAAAATCATCCAAAACTCACTCCTCCACCAATATATCTAGTAAGGTCAAGTGCTGAGCTAATGTAATATTTATTTTCTGATGTCATTAAAGGAATTAGCAGGTTTTATATTTAGCCCAATTTTAGTGACTGGCTTTTGTATGAAATCCTTACCTTAATACCCAGCTGTGTTCCTATATTCAAAACATCACTGTATCATACAGTACCTTTTAAAAAGATGATGATAACCTTTGGTGAATAAGACTTTCTCATAAACCGCTTCTTTATTTGGTTTATTTTAAGACATTCTTTGTATTTGGTTGGTAAAATTTTTTTATTTGACTACTACACTGGAACCTGCTAACCTGTTGTGAAAAACCCAATGGGATGTCTTAAGTTACCAAGTACTCTTTCAGCAATTTATTTCTACATGGCCATGTGATAAAAGAAAAAAAATATATATAATAGATATATGTCTATACATATAATCCTAAGATACAGAGATATGAGTAAATTGTGTCAAATGGTTATAGTGGTGTAAAAGCAACAAAACAACTTGGTATCTTAACCTGTAATGTCTTAACTGCAGTACAGACAACCAATATTTTACCGTTTTATTTACGGTAGTCAGAATAGACAAAACTATCACTGTTAGCACTTTTTTTTAAACACATAGCTCTACCTTTCTGCCTTCAAATTGATCAACAGACATCACAAAAACCTTTCATCCACCCTGGTTATCCCATGAATGATATAATGCTGACAAAATACATGTCCTTCATTGATAAGGTGTCTATTCCTTTCTGACTTTTACCTTTCTTCTATTTCCAGTTTAGACTAAAGGCAATTTTCTCTGGTTGGGCCATTTTCTCTTGTTATATGCTCCTTTTGGCTGTAAGCCTGGTCTAAAAGAAAAAAAAGAAAAATATCCTTCATAGGTGGGGATAGCTGTCTGTTGCAAAATTATAGACCCTGTGTTTAGAGTGACCAATCAGAAAAGACACAGTGTGATAAATGAAGGAAAAGCTTANTATACATTTATTTAAACTGCGGTGAACTGATTTATTCTTGGATTTTTAAGATACTTTGTATATTTGTGCATAAGACCCTGGGAAGTTTTCCCCTCCTTGTTCTGTAAATAGGTTTCCAGTTATTCTGAGGCATCTGGGCTGTTCCACTGCACTGTTTTTTTTCCTCTTCAGAGATTTAACGTGCACTCTTTTGGCAGCCGTAACCAGTGTACGGCTGTAAGATGTAGGCCTTTTCCTTTTGTTGGACAGTTGCTAACTAGATCTCCGGGATTAGGAGACCATCAAGCCATTTTTCCAAATTGTCTTAGCCCTCTGTGGATTTGTCTGGTTGTTTTGTCCTTCCAACTACTGAGTTAAGGGTTGGCACTTGATATGATAAACCCTCCAAAGTCCTTTATTCTGTTATTCAATTACAATCGGCTTTTTTACCCGTGCAGTCCCCTTTGAGGGTGTGTATGTACGTGCGTGTTGTCATAAGCGGGATAAAGCTCAATTATCTGCTTTAAATGCTTAGAATCCAAATAGTATTAGAACAACTAAACTCTCTTGGCACGCTGTCACCAAACATCTTTCAAAGTGCTTTGTTTCTTTCTTTAACCCCCCCCCCCCACACACACACACACACACACACACACTCACACACACAGACACACACACTTTGCCACTCCTTAGAGGTATCTCTCCCAGGTGGGGTTGTGTTTTACTGTCCTCTTAGAGGAGAACAGTGGTGTATGTGTGTGCATCTGTGTCTGCACGTCCATCTGTGTGTTCCACGAAGAAGATATGCAGCTCCCACCAAGATAACAGCTTCAAGGATGAGTGGAGGAGGAGTGTGGGCGAGAACGGCCAAAAAAAGGGGAAAAAAATATTAGCTGCACGTGTGTTCATGGTGTTTCAGAGCAAGAAGCGCTCTGCTCTTGCCTTATCCACCACGAAAGGACTTTTGAAGTTGATTTAGTGATATTAGCCACTTTGATCTCTTTTTGTATCGTTGAAGCCAAAGCTGAATGTGTTGTTTGTTGAGAGTGGATGGAAATAGTTACGGTGGACTTTGTCCACACAAACGGTGTGAAGTTTGTGGGAAGCAGCGGTGGTGTGGTGACGTTGAAGGAAAGGCGCTTAGTGAAAAGAGACGGAGGGGCTTGGTTTCATCAGTTGACAGGTTTGAAGCTTGACACCTGCCTCTCACTGTGTGAGCTGGGTTTTGTGTAGGTGGTGCTCAGTGATCCCATGCAGGTCGTAAACTGAACTGTGTGGTTGCAGGTTAGTCGGCCTTCAGCCACGCAAACCTGGGGGTTGCAGAGCTGTCACTGCACAGATAAATTCAGTCACTCCATGAAGTCAAAGCCTCACATCTTTTCACATCAGAATTTAATGTATTTCACTAGATTTTATTTGATAGACTAAGAAAAACTATTGCATATCTGTGGAAAAAAATATACAGGTTTTTAAACAAATTGAATCTAAGAACTGTATCAAATATATATAAATATCTTTACTAGACACCAAAATGTAGTATGGTTCAAACAATTGATTAATTGAGTTTTACTGTGTTATTTAATTTAACTTTATACATCTGGCCTGTTTTGAAGAAATGAAAAAAAGAAAAC